AAGATGAAAATGGCATGAAATGTAAATGCTAAAAGTAAATAGTACATAAAGCATAAAAAAAAGAACAAAAGCATAAGGTAAAACAAGTCAATAATTAGTGGTTAGTTGGATGACCATCTTGAAACTTGCATTTGGAACTCATTAGAGGATTGGTAGAACCAAATCCTCCACACAACAAGTTGCATTTGCTTTTTGTCAAGTATATCATCCATTTTGAAGTCTCATAAGTACCATTTAATGATCAACAGTGTTTAAGTGATCCACGTTGACCAAAGGTGTTGTAGATCCATTAGAAGATTGGTAGAACCAAAGCCTCCACACAATGAATCTCAAGGTTATTGGATCAAAGAGATCAAATTAACATACTTGGGCTTGCAATCATAAGTTTGGGCCATGGATGATCATTTATTCAAATCGGGACAAAATTTATCGCTATGTTAAGTAATCGTAAGTGGACTTATATAGAAGTCGCACCTATTTTGAGGCCGGTCAATAGCAATTTATGCACCATTTGTTTTGAGACATGATATAGAGATCATGCTCCAACAACATTTAGTTCAATAAGAAGGGGATGAGATGAAGAGGGATATGGTAAAAAAATATACAAACCACATTTGAATTAAATTTTAATCAAACTATTATTAAAATCATTCATCCATTTTTTATGGAGTTAAACTCAACACCATGGATCCAATGATGTTAATAAAGTTCATGATCCAAAACCTAACACAAGATTATCCAGAAAATAATCACAAAATAATATCACATTTAATATAAAAAATATTTTAAAAAATGTTTTAAAAATAGAAAATAATGAGAAAAATGTCAATCATGTTCCAATTAATCAAGAAATGAGAAGTAAGGCCATAGGAAAATCAGAAATGGATCCAAATATTTTTATAAAATTTTTGGTAATTTTTAAAAGTCATAAACTATTTTTAAACTACTTAAAATTTCTCAAACAAACATAAAATAGGTCAAAAATAGTAAACCTCAACATAAAATTCCATAAAATTTTCAGAAAGTAAAAAATATGCAAAATAATATTTATGAATTTTTTCATAATTAAAAAATGTCAGAAAGTATTTTTTAGGTAATTAAAAGAAAGCAAATAATACAAAAAAATATTTAAAAAATACTAAATATCAAAATAAAAATGTGAAAAAATAGTCATGAGATCAGAAATAATTCAAAGTACTTTTGTGAATTTTTTCATAATTTTTGGATAAAAAATAAAAGAGTTATGAATTTTTGAAAACTTAATCAATAAAAATATAAAATCAGAAAATAAAATAAAACCAAAAAGATGTGGACCATCAGATCATAGTCAAAACGTATTAGTAAGCTAATCCAGTGGACCAGACGCGCTGTGCTTGATATGGACCTTAGTGAGATACACATAGGATTAGAAAAAGGACAACCAATGAAATTAAAACGTTTGGCACGCTATCATTGGCTGAGACGAGACATGTCATCGTCTTCAACCTCCAGACACCCTGCAATGGGGATTTTGTGAGATCCTTCAAATGGAAAAATTAGGATCACAGGCTAGCATCATTGAACTCGTCTCTTCAAGATGATTCTAACACAACCATCGCGCCAAATTTATATAAGGTATGGAGAGAGATATGAATCAAAAACCCAAAAAATAGCGAGCACCTTCAATTTGAGATTTCTCTCTCAATTCTGAATGTATTTAAAAATTGTAAGCAACATTAGAATCAGGAGAAGGAGTAGAATATATTAGTGCTTGATTTAGATCCAAATGGTGGAGAATTCTACCTTTTCGAAGTTCAAGGAAGAAGCTCTGAAACTGGACTTCTGTAGCTTGAATTATGGCTCGTTTTGATTGGTTTAAATGCTAGAGAATTTATATGATGATCAAGGATGATGAATGCGCAAAGAATTTTGGAAAAGGGAGCTTGAATCTCAGAAACTGAATTCAAAAAAAGATGAGTTCGTGTGAGGTTTTGGCAGGGTGTTTTTGGCTCTCAAAGCTTGAAGAAATGAATGGGGAAGGACCCTCTATTTATAGGGAAGTGAATGGGAATGAAAATTTGAAGAAACAAGGAAGTTTGGAGGGAAATTGAGTGAAGGTCGAGCACGAGTGAAGTGTGACTTCATTTCCATTAAAACTCAACCAAATATTGCATTTTGGGGTGCTAATCACTTCTGGCAAGTTTGCTAATCAAGTTTAAATCAAAAACGCGCATAAATCTTGTGTTTAGAAGTCACATTATGGATCTCAAAATTCTGACTTTGTGAAAAAATCAGTTTCAAGTTACCAAATTCAAATCCATGGCATTTCCAACTCAAGGGGTCTTATGGCATGATTCTTAATGCTTTAGAAAGATGAGGTTACAAGCTTTGTAATGGGAAAAAAATGGAATCAAATGGATGCTTGAGCTGAAAGTTACGTTGAGTCAAAGTTGAAGAAAAAGGGTTGACTTTCCATACTTAGAAATATTTCAAATTCTTCTTCAAAAATGACCTATAATCTTTTGCATCCAAACATGGCCTTCCACTTGGATTTTTCTCTTGACCCAAAAAGATGGAGTGAAGTAGATCTTTTGAATAACATTTTGGGACTTGAACCATTAAAAATATCCAAAAATTGAGAGAGTTATGACTTGTTGAAGTTGGCTAAAAATCATGAAATGACCTATAATCTTTTACATATTTATGGCAACTTCCCCCCATTTTCTCACTTTGCACATAAAATAAGGCATAAAGTACACATCTTCAAGGTCATTATGGAAAAATAAAGGACTCAAGGTGATAAAAATTGACCAAGTTATGACCATTTGAAGTCACATGTGGAAAATTATGGGTTCATCTGGATGACTTATAATATTTCTTCTTCACCAAGTTTCTTCCACATGAAAACTCTTTGGAATTTTTGAAGTGGTTTGTTGATAACCCTTTGAAGAGAAACATGTCTTTGGAATTACTCAAAAATACCAAAAGGTGAGCAAGATATGCTCCTTTGAAGTTCAAAACCCTAGCTTCTAGATCAAGAGAATGCCTTGGAGAACTTTGACAAGTTTGAACAATCTTCTTGTACCAATATTCTTGATGTGTGAATATAAGTTGTTGAGGATGATAATGAAGACTCATAGCCACCAAAACCACTTCCATATCTTAAATTTTGAGAGAAATATGCTCTTGTGACTAATAGGAACAAGGCCTTGTCCAAACATGACAACTTCTCCAATCAACCCCTTGTACTTTTGGGTCAAATTTAATAACCTTGAAATATGGTGAACCAAAACAATCATGCCATGCCAATTCTTCCAAAACCAATCCAATGATGAGGTTTGAACTTTTCAAGCTTGTATTGACTAGGGCATGAAAATAAACTCATGAATCCATGGGTAACTTGTTAAATCTCATTGCCCTTACCTACATGGATAACAAACAAGACATGCCAACATTATATTTTATAAGTGAAGAAATCAAAACAATATTCATGATTACAAAAGGAACATAAGTCAAGGTGCTTGGTAATCCCTCAAAAGGAGAAAAGCTCAAAGTAGGCAGGAGAACCAAGGATCCTAGTGTGATCTTGTTGTGAGTGAAACAACATGGTATGATGAAGGGATCTTAGGGGCAAAAATTGTGGTACAATACTATGAACGTGGACATAGTCGAAAAATACTACGCATGAAAAATGACCCGCTAGGTTGACTGGCCTAGAAAAAAATAAGGGCATTCCGACGAACCAAAAGAGCTCAAAAAAAATTAGGGATATATAAATAAAACTGTACACCCGGCAAGTTAAAAACCTGAAAAGGCGGCTTGGGCAAAAAAGGGTATCCCGGTGGACTGAAAATCTGAAAGGACATTCCAGGCAAAGTTAGGGATTAATGCGTACGACTATGTCCTGTCATTCTGTCACCTGTCTATCAGTAGAGGGCTTATCACCTTGATCAACATTTACTCAAGACTCCAGGAGTTGGGATAACATTCAAGTTATCCACGAAATCCCCAGCGTAACCACCCTTAGGGGACTATCTTCGCAGAGTTTGTCATCAGTAAGGATACGTTCCCCAGTAGATACAGAGACGTCTGTCATACCCCAAAATTTCCCTACCCTTATTCAGGGTTCTATTTAAATAATCATATTGTAAGTTTTACTTCTATAGGAATGTTTGAAGTCAAAGAGAGGTGTACTGATCCAAAATGGACCATCAACATCTGATGACCCATTAACTTTTAAAAAAAGAATTTGTTTCAAGTTAAAAAAGTAGGTGCATTGTCATATAGGGGTATGTATTTTAATTAAAAGTTGGTGGATTTTCTAAAATCAGAAAAAAAAAAACCATTTTTAGCCTCCTGGCGCATAAAGTTATTCAGCCGGCACATTTGTTTTTTTGCTGTTGGATAATAAAGGACATGGGTACATTTTGTTTTCATAAGATTAGCCCATATCAATTTATTTCAAGGGCTAAACTTTTTAATCAGAATAATTGAAAGTTAATTTCTGATTTTCTCATTATTATTCAATTTTATTAATTATTGTTATTAAATTATAATTAATAATATTATATTTCTATTAACATTATTATTATCTTTTTATAATTACCTTGTATCATTGTTATAATTGATTATTATTAATATTATTATATTTTAGTAATATTGTTATTATTTGAGTTATTTTTATTTTGTTATATCTTTTATAAACATTGACAAAAGTCTAAAGGGAGCATGCCTATTTTGTTTTTTTAACATACTGTTGCTTCCAAAAAAAAAAGCACATTGTTAAAAAAATGTGTTGCTTCCAAAAAGCGCATGGCCCAGCCTAAGGAATATAACAAGCCTAAGGAATATAACAACCACTGGGCACAAATTAATTACTAACTATATAACAACCACTTGACCCAAACTAATTACTAACTATTACTGTACGTAGTGTTTTAAAACTCAGTCCGACCCAGCCGATCCGATTAAGGAATAAAATCGGAATTACATTTAGATCGGATAAAATCGGTGTGAATCGGTTAAATCAGTAAACCAACGGTTTTTACTGAACCGACGGTTTGAATATTTATTTTATTTTTCAGGGCTTTTGAAATATGCAGTCTGACAAGTGAAATTCCATCCCGCCGGAGTTGCCACCACCGAAATCCCATCCCGCCGGAGTTGACCTCGCAGCCAACTTTCGTGTACACTACCTTCTTCCGACCAACCGCATCCTCCATCGCACGTCACCGCCCGAAAGCAATCCGCGATGACCGTCCGTGACCATGTGAATCGGATGGTTCCGTTGTTTCTTTTGGTTGGCTATTGATGTTGCAAGCGATTTGGTTGTGTTTGTGCAAATTTACTTTGGTTTGATATTTGTTTTATGAGATTGAAAAAGGAGAGTTGGAAGAGATGGTTATTGACAAAGAAGGAGGATGTCACGATAAAGAGATGAAATGGGATCTGTTCCCTCTGTCTAAATTATGTCACATGTTATCAAAGATATACAAACTAAAGGGCAGCACCCCTATCACTCAACAGGTAAAAAAGATGTGAGAGAGGAAGAGATGTTTCGGTTATCAATGTGATATTATTATTTATTTATTTTTCATATGATTGACACGTGTCGGCCAATTATTAGACCGTTTTTTTCCTTTGAAAATTGGCTTAAGGAACACTATCCCTTATAACTTTCGTTCATGCTTTGTTTTTTTTTAGTGGTTAAGACTATGATTTCTATGGACTTGTAACTTGGGCCTTTGTATCATTTTACTTAGATTCGCATCACTTAAAGATCTGTCCATTATAGATTTCAATTAGTTAAATAATTTAATTTTATCAGGTTAATTAATTCTAACTAATCTATTTAATTTTAGCTAATATAATTAGCTTTAGCTAATATAATTAGTTTTTTTATTCAATTCAATTAATTTAGATTATTAGGTTAATTTTTTTCTAATTATAAAAATTAACGGAGAATTCTTATACATAATCAATTTTTTCCAATTCAAAAAATTTTAATATTTTACATTAGAATATTAAAACTCAAGCAAATTCATCAAATACTTCATCCGCGAGCAACACGTGGCCAATATCTCATCACGTGATAAGAGAGACTTTATTAGACTCCCTCTGCATCTTTCATGATGAGTAACACATGGTTAATATTTGGCTGCGTGACGAGGAGACTATATCAGACTCCCTCGTTCTACGTCTAATAATACGCAAACAAACGTCAAACTATTTTTTGTAATAAATTAAATCAAACAATCAATTTTCAAAAAAGAATACAAAAAGTTTTTAATTAACTTCGCACTTAGTTCAAAATCTCCACTATTTACACATTCGAACTAAGTGCGGGGAAAATTAAAATATCTTGTGTAATCTATAAAAAATACAAACAACCCCACGAACTATGAAATGTGACTCTGATTTCTCCTAGGAGGATACATAGACATACAAACAAAAATTGTTGCGAGTCCTGCTAACTAAATTCAAATCCTTTTTTCCAATAATAATTAAAAACCCTATCTCCTAAGATCGCGCTTCTAAACTTAGTATCCTTGTGAACAAGGTAGATAAGGGGTGCCTAACACCTTCCCCTCGTCTAGAAACAAGTCCAAATCTAGAATCTCTGAATCTTGTAGGGTCATTCCTTTATACTCCCTTCCTTTAGGATAAAAGTTAAGGGTGGCGACTCTAATTTAAAAACCAGGTACAATATTGTCCTCCTGCAAGATCACTACCATACCTTCAACATACAACCTAATGATGTCAGAGGTTCTGATATCCCCTGCAGAGCAAGAGTCTCTAATCATCTTGAAGAATTCCTCAACATGGTTCATAAACTTCTTGGGTTCTCCAACAGGGCTTTACAAAAATCCCCAAGCCGTTTACGGAGTTGTTTCTTTCCCAGTAAAGTTTATTTCTCTAGCCACAAAAATCCATCTCCCAGCAATTCAACTTCAACAAATAGTGAAGAATCACATTCTTCATCTCCAGCAGCAGTCAGGGATTTATTTTCCCTAGTTTAACAACACCATAAAGAGCAACTGATACACTCACATATTACAGTCATACAACATTTACAATACATCGTAACATATGCATAACTGAAACGCATATAACATTCTCATTTATTTTGAGATTATTATGCAATTCATACATCATGACATCGCATGAAACTGACTTTACCTTTTCAGGTTAAATTCGCAGACAAATGAATACTATCAACTTATGCATAGCAGGTCAAAGATTAATGCCTGAAACCAGACGGGGAAACTATCTACACGACTAAGTGGTATGAACTCCCGAAGCAGGACGGGTTTACCAACAAATACAGCAGGCCACAGATTAATGCCTAAAACCAGACGGGGAAACTATCTATGTGGCTAGCCAAAGACAGTTCCAGATTAATTCCTGAAACCAGACAGGGCAACTATCTGCGAACAGTTAATTATGGATCAATTCCCGAAATAAGATGGGGAAACTATCTATGACTAGCCAAAATGATTTACGAAAAATCAGAGTGCAAAATTTCTAAAATAATCAGGATGCTACACATTCAACACATAAACCTGTCATGCTTTTAGAATAGATACATAACACTTAAAGAAAACAGAATGAACACAACTCATGAATAAAGTATTCATAACATAAACCAACTTTGATTAATCACGCAGCGGATTCATAATAATTCTCCATATAAGACATATCATCTTTTGAATCATAAAACAACATCAATACGATAAATCCTCAATAACAACATAAGGTTCGATAAATAAACAACAAAATAAGACAAGCGTTCATTTCCCCCCGAGTGCTACGTATCAGAGCAAATGACACCAAACTCGAACTAACAACATTAACGGCTACTCCTCTTGGTTACCTGCACGTTACCAATAAAGGGTAACATTCAAACAGAAGGGGTGATATATTGAATCCCATAATAGAACATATGATAAATAACATATCGAAATCAGTTTATGTAAAATCACCACTTCATATCAAATCAACATAAAATAATACCATTCACCAACACCTCAATTCAACTTATAACATTACCGTGCGTAAACAACACTTCAAATAAGCAACAAATCAACGACTCCAAATGCGACTCGATTATGCAAATGCATGTGGTATCATTGGAGCAGAACTCCCAACTTAGAAATTTCCAGTTTACCGAGGCATAAGGCATAATCCCTCAACATAAATCTTGCCAATAAAGGCCAACGTGGGGAGCATTTGCTCCAACTTAGAACATGCCAATCCAGGCCAACTTTAATGTTATGCTATGCTATGCGATGATATAAACAACCACAACTTGGCAATGCAACAATGGCAACAACATAATAAAGGTCAACATAACAACAATTTACACCTTTAACATTGACCAAAGGCCTATATCACCATTATCACCAATTAATCAAGGGTAAATACACAACATCTATTCACCACGGATATATCGAAACAAAACGACATTTCGGTCAATTCGCAAAATACATCAATATACCAACATACCGAATTAATCAACTCGTCTCCAATTATTTACCAACTTAATCAATTAATCTCATTGCTAAATTATTTTCATCACCAATAAAATATTAATTCAACCATTTGAAATATATATATAGTCCACTGTTATTTGTTCTCCCTAAAATTGCTAACTTATTATGCAACTAATGGGTGTGCTATTCTTCCACATAAATTAGCTTCTAACAACTAAATTAATTTACTGTTACTAAAAACAGTGACATTCATATATATTGCTATGAGCCATTACTGTTATCTATTAAAAATTATGCAATATAGTGCCTTAGAAGGACAAGCAGAAAAACAAGGAAACATGGAAAATAGACAGAAGCGAATGCCTCTGCCTCACAGTGCCAAAGTGGCACTTGCCTCCACCCACTACACATGTGCCCATCGACACCTCTCCTTTTCCCAAAGGTTTCCGAATGGCAACCTCCCCCTTGCCGGACGGCACTTCCATTCCTCTTATTTTATGCGTAGTTTATATATTGCTTCAGTAATTCTTCTGTCTCCTAATCCAACTCAACCCATACAATAACATAACAACCCATATATTTTCATTGACAGTTCTATAACCGAATCAATATTAATCTTTATTATCACAACAACACAAGCCAAGCACAAGTAAATAAAACAGTAACAATTTCACAAACAATTTCCCACATACAGGTATCATACAACCCATTATAGTATAGGAAATCCACCCTTACCTGGTTGGATTTTGAAAACACTTAAGGAAGCTTCAATGGAATTTATGAGATTGGCCCTAGCAACAACTTTCCTCGTTCTTCTCCTCTTCTCACAAACCCTATTCTCCTTTCTCTTATTTTTGTTTTTCCTGATAACACCACATTCTCTCTTTCTTCTATTTTTCTAATAAAATACTATTATTTAACCCTTAGTAACTTAAATGGGCCTAACCAATACACCTTCCTCATTACTTTGCGACACCACACTTAAGCCCAACATCAATTCTAAGCTTACTAGTAAAATGCTACTCCGACTTATTTATGCCTATATAAACCTGATTAAATTATTATTCTAACTTAATAAAATAATCTCGACTTCAACGATAAAAATTCGAATTAAAAATAAAATAATCAAAACAATATTTATTTAAATAAATAATTAAATATTGGGGCGTTACAACTCTCCCCCACTTAGAATATTTTCGTCCTCGAAAATAAAAGTTTACCTGGTTCAAATAACTCGGGATAGGAGTCTCGCATCTTGCTCTCCAACTCCCAGGTCATACTCTCTCCAGCAGCTCCTAACCAGACAACTTTCACTAATGCAATCTCCTTTCCCCTTAGGATCTTCATCTCGCGATCCGCGACTCGCACATGCATCGTCTCCACCGTGAGATTATCCCGTACTTCCACATCGTCCATCTGAATCACATGAGACGGATCGAGAATATACTTCTGAAGTTGCGATACATGCAACACGTCATACAAATTAGCAAGGTTTGGCGGTAACACCACTCGGTAAGCAAACTTCCCAACTCGTTCTGATATCTGATACGGACCAATAAAACAAGGAGTAAGCTTCTTAGACTTCAAAGCTCACCCAACACCAGTCACAAGTGTGACTCTCAAAAACATATGATCACCAGCTTGGAATTCTAAATCTTTCCTTCTCTTGTCACGATAACTTTTTTGTCTACTTTAAGAAACCTTCATCTTCTCTTGGATAAGCTTCACTT